TATATTATATGTATATACACACACACACACACACACATGCAGATGTATTCTCCAACACACATCACTATACATTGTCTTGTGTTCATGCATTCACACTTCCTGTGATGAAATTTAGTATGTGCGTGTAAATGTCTCGCTGAAATGATGCAGAAAAGAATGTAGGATTTTGTGTGTTCATGAAATGAAAATGTTGTTGTTGTCGTCATCGATCCAGCAACAGCTGGGCTCTCGTCCTTCTGTCCAATGCCATGTAGTAATAAGTGCAGGTTTGCTGAATGAAATGGAAATAAACGTCACATTTTGTACTACTGTTATGTCTTGACTTATCAATCTGGTGTGGTTGGTGGGTGCTCTGTATGGTGGGGTTTGCTCCTTTTTTCCTATCAGCAGACATCTATCAACCTTATCCCCCCACCCCCCCCTTTTTTTTTGTGCGTGCTGGTTACTCTCTTGTAGCACCTCTAACCTTGGGGCACTTATATGACCTGATTGTGTTGCAAATGCCGTAAAACTCTTACCAAAACTAAAACTAAAACCATTGACTTATCTGCTATTTATTGTCTGTTGTGAAGTGCCTGATGTTTTGGTGTTTTTTCCCCCTGTAGTTTTGTTCTGTTTTCCTGATTTGTTGGTGGATATTTTTAACATGGTTCCTGCAGCCTCTTTGAATTCAAGGAGTCCTTGAAATCTCCTTGAATGTGCTTTCATTTCATTCAAGGAAAAATCTCCTTGAAATCTCCTTGAATTTGAGGCATCTCCTTGAAAACTCCTTGAATTTCGGCAGATCGGACATAAATAAATTTTTTGTTGCATCGGAAAATCGAAACTACGATTCCTTTCAGACAAGTGTAGGCCTATTAGAAATAGGCTTTCGGCATGCATTTCTTGACCAAATCTCCTTGAATTTTAAAAATTGCTCCTTGAAACCTCCTTGAAATTGGTTGGGAGTTCATGGGAGGAACCCTGTTTTAAGTAGATGTATTTGTAAGTTAGGTTGGAAATATGTTAACGTCTTGTTAAGCACCAAGAGCTTGCTGTCAAGCGAGGATATTCGCTATTTCTTCTTCTTATTTTTGTTCTTCTTCTTCTTCTTCTTCTTCTTCTTCTTCTTCTTCTTCTTCTTCTTCTT